GATATCTAATATATAGTTAAGTGCTATAAAATTTTTGCTTCTTCTTTTTAACAATTACATTGCCTTCCACAGCATGTGTGGACTACAATATATTTAATCATTCCTCTATGAATGGAAGTTTTGTTGGTTGCAAATTTTTGGTGTTATAGACAATGCTACAAAGAACATTGCCGATTATACCTTCTTGTGCACATGTTTGTCCACACATTGGTTCAAGGAGTATAATTGTTGAATTAAAGGACATATGTATGTAAAATTGCTAATTTTTATCTATCGCAATGGATACACACAGTACAAATGTCAAAATGTGCAAAAGATCATATAGTAAAAGTATTTCTTCCCACTCCGTGTGATATCAGAGATGTTGATCATAAGGCTTTGAAATTTCCTTTATACTAATCTATACTGATGCTTTCTAGGACCTAGAATCTGAATTGTGAATTTATTTCTGGCTGATACCATCATCATCATCATTATTGTCATCTTCATAAGTTTATTAAGACCCTTATGAATAATATCAGATGTTTCATTTTTACCTAGCCTCCCATATTCCATTTTCCTTAATTTTGTCTTATTCTTTTCTAAGATTCTTAGTGCTTCTTATCTCTACACAAACTCCTTAGTGAAAAGCACATGGATTTTATTTTATTTATTTTATTTTTTATTTTTTAAAAGATATACTCATTTATTTTAGATAGGAATAGAGAGAGCTCACAAGTGCATCAGTGCAAGCAGGGGGCAGGAGCAGAATGAGAGGGAGAAGAGCAGACTCCCCGCTGAGCAGGGAGCCTGACATGGAGCTGGATCCCACCACCCTGAGATCCCGACCTGAGCCAAAATCAAGAGTGGGATGCTTAACCGACTGAGCTACCCAGACACCACAAGCACATGAATTTTAAAATAAAAGGAGATCTAGGATTAAAACATCGTTCTGCCACTTATTTGCTATGTGGCCTTTGCTAAGTTAAATTCTCTGAGCTTATAAAATGGGAACAATAATATCTACCTTGCAAGATTAGTATTGAATTACATACATAAATATATGTCTCATCTCCTACATGTCAGGTACTTTACATCCATTATCTCTAACTCATGAAGTAGTCTCCAGCAAGATAAATAGGAAGGCAAATGCAGCAGGCAATGAGAAAATCAAGGAGATAATATGAGATGGATGTGGTGTAGACAGTCACCAAACTAAGACCTGAACTTTAACTTAGAGGAAGTTGAGAGTGGTGGGTATTGGCCGGAAGTGTTCAGGCAGAGCAAAAAAGCATGTGTAAAGGCCCTGAGGTCAGAGAGAACTTAGTTACTCAAGGAATTGAAAGAAGTAGAGAAATTTAGGACCAGGGAAAATAAGGGAGAGAGTGATAGAGGATGGGGTCAAAAATGGTTATTCGGGGAATCCTTATTGTCAGCCTATCCAACTGCCTTATCCTCATCTTTCTTGGTAAAAGAACCCCCAGTTGTATTGTTCAGATAGTACTTCAGTCTTTTGCTAGTGATTGGTTTAAGGATGGTCATGGGACCCGATCTGGATTAGTGAGATATAAGGGGAAATCTGCAAAAGAAGGCCTCTAGGAAACATTTTCCTCCCATATAAAAGAACAGAGGTAGAAGAAGAATCTCCATCTTTCCTTTCTGGTCTTGGAGATTGTTTTGTGTAGATGTGATCGTTGGAACTGCTCTTGCCATCCTTCTGCCCTGAGGAAGGCAGTGTTGAGACACTGGGGATAGCAAGAGGCTGGACACCTGAGGACATCACTGAACTACTGAGCCCATTCTGGAAGTGCTCACCTCTGGACTAGTTTACCTTAGATAATATCCTTATTGATTCAGGCAGTTTTAGTTGAATTTCCCTACCACCAAAGGCATCTTAATTTATTATATTCATTGAAAGAGAAAGATCGTGCAGGACTTTGTAGATCCTATTAAAGATCTGGAATTTAATTTTAAGGGTTATGGAGAACGATTAAAAACTTTAAGCATGGGTTAAATTTTGCTTTTCAAAAGATCACTTTAGTTGCAATGTGCGTAATAGATTGGCCAATGGCAAGAGTGGAAGCAGGTGTAGCAGGAGTAACAGGTAGAAACTATTGCAACAGGCCACAAAAAGAATGCAATGATTTAAAATATGTGGTGGCCATCGGGATAGGGAAAAATGAACCCATTCAAGAGCTACTGAGAAATACACTGGAGGCAGAATTGTGATTGTGATTGTCGTTGATTCAGTGTGAATGAGGAAGGGGAAGAACTCAAGATGGCACCCAGGCATCTGGATTGAGCTACCAGCAAGATTGTAGAGCCATTTACTAAGAGAGGGATAAACAACTGGAAGTAGAACAGGGGGTAATTTACTATCATGAGTTCATTATTGGACAGGTTGAACTGAAGGTGCCTGAAGTAATCAGGTGGTAATGTCAAGTAAGTAGTTGGGCATTTGAGTGGCCCAGGTAGAGATAAAGACTTGGAAGTCTTTGGAACCAAGATGGTAATAGAAGCTATGTGTTTTGAGATTCTTAGGGAGGGAGCAAGGAATGAGAAAAGGTCCTAAGACAGAATCCTAGGACTTCCAGCACTTAGCTTTTCCATGGAGAAGAAGAGGCCAGCGAAGGAGATGGGGAAGAACAGCCAGAAAGAAAGAGGGAAAGCCAAAGAGTTTCTCCAAGGAGGGAGTGCTCTATACCGACAAATGTAGTTGAAAGGTCATGGAAGAAAAGGACTAAAAAGATTCTATTGGATTGAGCTACATGAAGGCCACTGGTGACACTGATAATGAAGCAACTTTTAGACAGATGGAAGTGGAATGGTCGGTTCAGACCCCAGGTTGAACTGGATAAAGAGAGGATAATTAAGAAATGGAGACACAGCTGGTGGAGAAGCAGGTCAAGAAATTTGGCCTTCAAGAGGATGTAGGGCAGGAGCTGAGGGACATGTGGAATCAAGGGAGGGGTTTCTTTTTCTTTTTTTTTAAAGATTTTATTTATTTTATAGGGAAAGAGATCGCATGTGAGCGTGTGTACACATGAGTGTGGGAGAGGGGCAGAGGGAAAGAGAATCTTAAGCAGGCTCCATACCCAGCATGGAGCCCAATGTGGAGCTCCATCTCATGACCCTGAGGTCATGACCTGAGCCGAAAGCAAGAGTTGGACACCTGACCAACTGAGCCCCCCAGGTGCCCCATCATCCCTATAAAAGAAAAACAGGGGCACCTGGGGGGCTCAGTAGGTCAGGCCTCCAACTCTTGCTTTCGGCTCAGGTCATGATCTCAGGGTGGTGAGATAGAGCCCTCTGTTGGACTCTGCACTGAGTGAGGAGTTGGCTTGTCCCTACCCTTCCCCTTCTGTTCCCCCATCCGCCCCCACTAGAGCATGCACTCTCCCTCTCTCTCAAGTAAATAAAATCTTTAAAGATAGGGATGGCTCTCTTTCCTTAACCTCTATATCCCATTCATTTGCAAATCCCTTTGGGTCATTCTCATAAATGTATCCCAAATCTCATAAATGTATCCCAAACCCAGATAACTCCCTGGTTTGAGCCATTACCATCCTCACTTGGGCTAACTTAGTCTCCTCTGATCGGTTTCTCTGCTTCCATTCTTATTTTGTTCTTAGCTTTTTGAAACCACAAAACAGTCATAGTAAACGAAATCATGGCTTTGAAATACAATCCAAAGTCTTGGTCCTGGCCTATGAGATTGAATATAATCAGGCCCCATCTTAAGGGATCCCGTTCTACCCTGCTGGGCCCCTGTGCTCTGTCTCCACATGGCTTCTTTCTGTTCTTTGTTCCTTGCTCACTCACTGGTCCGAGTGCTTAGCAAACTTTTTCCTGCATCTTTGAATGGCTGACCCCTTTTCATTATTCATGACTACTCAAATGTTCCTTATCCAAAAAGTCTTCTCTGACCTTCTTATCATCCCCACTCCCATCCTCAGTCCCTGTTTTACCTTCCTCATGGCTCTTATCATCTGAAATGATCTTGTTCATTTATTTATCTGTTGGTTACTTATATCTTCTCATTAAAAGTAAAGTCTGGGGGAAACTGGGTAAAGTTTATGGGACTGTTATCTATTACATGTATTATTGCTTGATGTATAGTGTGGATCATATATTACTATGTGTTATGTATAAATGATAAGCATGTGAATCTGTAATTATCTCAAAATAAATGTTTTTGGTTTTGTTTTTATAAAGTAAGTTCTGTGAGAACTGGGATTTTGTCTCCTTGTCAGGAACTGTGTTCCCATCACTGGCATGCAGTTGGCACTAAAGAAATCTTATTAAGTGTGTGATTTTTTTTTTAAAAGATTTTATTTATTTATTTATTTATTTATTTATTTGAGAGAGAGAGAGCGCACAAGCAGAGGGAGAGGGGCAGAGGGAGAGGGAGAAGCAGGCTCCCCGCTGAGCAGGGCGCCTGACGTGGGGGCTTGATTCCAGGACCCGGAGAGCATGCCCAAGCAGAAGGCTGACCCTTAACCGATCTCATGAGCCACCCAGGCGCTCCACATGTGTAACTTACAAAACGATATATTTGGTCATGTCTAAAAGAGAATGGGGCAGGGAGTAGGATCAACAGCAGGGGACCCTGAGCCCAGGAAATCCGGCTCTCCAGAACCCTTTCCACCGCCCCATGCTACCTCTCCATTAATGGCGTATTGACTCCATGACTTAAGTCCTGGTTAGCACTGTCTTAGGACACACTCAGTCATAGATCGTCTTTGTTGCCTATTATGATTACAACAGTGCAGGGCAGACAGGACCATCACCTTACAAATGCGTTCTGGTTCGCATAAAGCACCACCAGACCCACACTCTCTCGAACATGCAAGAATGGGTAAGGAGGCTGCCCGCGAGAGCCCGGAAGGCTCACAGCGGGCCCAGGTCCTCCGCTCCGCAGTTGAGGTTTCAGGTTTCAATCCTCCCAGGAGCCCGGGCTGTCGCAGCGCGCACCGTGCGGCGGCCGCCTCCGCCGGCACGTCTCCACGCGAAAGCCAATTCCAGGCGCGGCCACGCACTCGTCTGCCCTAGACGGAGGTTGGGCGCGGCGGCTGAGCCTGCTGCTAGGTTGCTCTAGCTGGGCGCGCGGGGAGGCGGCGAGCACAGCTGGGCCGGGACTTCCTTCCTCCCTCTACCGCAGGACAAAAAACAACCCGGCAGCAGGCGTTGAGCCCTTGGCAGCTGTCTGGGCGAGAGGCGCAGCGATGGGCTCCGTGCTGAGCAGCGATAGCGGCAAATCCGCCCCCGCCTCGGCCGCCCCGCGGGCCCTGGAGCGCAAGGGGGACCCCGAGCTGCCCGTCACGTCCTTCGACTGCTCGGTGTGCCTCGAGGTGTTGCACCAGCCCGTCCGGACCCGCTGTGGCCACGTGTAAGTGCCAGGGAAGCTCGGCTTGCGCGCCCACTTCTGGGGAGGGCGAGGTTGGGGGAGCCGAGGGCAGGGGGGATTTCAGAAGCCAGCGCCTGAATGGAGCTACTGCAGGGAGACACCCGGACCCGTCGAGTCCAGGCCACGGGGAAAATGACCGGTCGGAAGGTGACACAGGATTTCAGGAGGCGAAAACAGCAACAAGCGGGCCCTGCAGCACCTCCCGCCCTTCCGCCCCCCCCTCCCATGCCCGTCGCCACTTGCTCCCGAAGCCCAGGTGTAGAGCCCAGGGATGGGGTTCCCAGGCGCGGGACCCGCCAGGAGCCAGGACTCCCCAGCGGGGGGGGGGGTGCTCTTGGCTGGACAGCCAGCACCCGCTTGGGCACAAGGCAGTGGGCTCCTGCAGAGCAGTTATCCCGCTGAGCTCTGTTAATCCGAAGGTGCGTCCCTCCCCCACCCCTCCCCCCGCACCCCGGGTCGGTTTTGTTTTGCCGGCTCTCTGCACGTGTTTCAGAACGCCCACTGAGGCTAGCCCCTTGAGCAAACAAAGATCTGTGCAAACTGGCCTTCCACCCCCACCTCCCTTTCCTAATACAAACACTCAGGCCCCTCAAAGATCAACGCAAATTGGAACGTCCAAGTGACTCTGTGGTCGTAGGAGTTTAAGTACCCGCCAGGTTGGGGCTGGGAATTGAACGTTAGCACCGAACCCTTGAGTGTAGCCCTTTAAAATCCCACCACGAAGTGACAGGAGGTTGTAGACTACCTGTCTTACGCAGCGCTTCCCTGAATCGATGGAAAGTATAGATAAAAATGAGTAGTTTCTTAAAAGAGTTTAAAAACAAAATCCCTGTATAAAATTGGCACGTCCTTAATTTGTGCTTGAGTAACTAGTAATGGGAGTTGGATCTGTGGATTCGTGTTCTCTGTTTACGTAGAAGTTTTCTTTCCGTGGCTGCATGGGTGTGCGACCGAGTGTGTGCGTGTTGGGGTGGGCGGAGGGGGGGGGGTTGCATAGAGCGGAAGCCCACTTAATGTCTTCTTTGGCTGACCGTTTAACTATAGTTTGATGAAGCACCAGGGCAATACCGCAATGGCTAGTAAGTGCTTTTGGTTTACCAGGGAAAAAAGACCGTATTATAAATGCAAGGGCACAAAATGGTTTTCAGAGGACTTAGGTGGTCCTTGACTTCCTAGAGACTAGAAACCGAGAAGCACCACTCAAAAGCAGGGTATGATCCAGGAGGAAAAATGCAGCCCACACAAGTGTTTAAATAGAGAGTGCCCTGGGCATTATTTTGTGGCTGTATTTCCAAGGCCTGTTGTTTCAGCTTTGTACTTTAAACTCCAGCCTAATTGACCTCCTGACTGATTACTGATGTTGTTTCCTGGCTGTCCAGATGTAGCTCATTGACATAAATCCCAAGGCCAAGATGGAAGCCAAATACATATTGATTAGTTCAGTGCGGTAGTAACCTCCTGATAACTATGGGTAAATTTAGTCTGTATGAGCATTAAAACTTTAAAGTTGCACCAAAGATGCACAGTGGGCATCAAGTCTTGAAGGTTCCTTTTGTAGAACTGAATTGGGTGACTTTGATATTGGAGATTGTTATCTGATTGGGGATTGTTTTCCCTAGTTTGGATGTTGAAGGCTACAACTTACTGTTTGCGGTGTTTTTGCCTCTGCTAAAGGATAATATAAATGTGTAAAAAGTTAAATCTTTTGTTTAATCTTTTTCTTTGTTAGAGTTTGAATAGGAAATGAGCAACTGGAAAAATAGTCATGAAGTAGCACAACAAGGGCTGGACGAATGGCCTTTCCTCACTTTACTGTTCTTTGTTTTGACAAATCTGTGTCCATTGTTCTGGCTGTGGGCAGAATTTCCATATTCCTCCATTTGGCAAATTTACTTGGGCCCCTTCCACTTTATAAAATGTTAACTGGAGTTCCTTCTGCACTGGAGATGGTGAGTGCTGTTAACACCATTTATACTTCCTAAATGAATTGTTCTCTTCCATTGACCTTAAATTGGAAAAATGAAGAAATGCAAATGAAATCTCTCTATGTTATCCCATATTGAAGCTAATTTCCAAACTTGTTGAACTCATTTGTTGATGCTGATTTCTGTTTATAAACCTATTTTGAGTCAAGCAAGTTATTAATAATGGCAAAAATACATTGAACGAATATGTATGTAGCACTCTATAAATTATAGAAACAGTGGGCTTGAGAGAGCAGGATTTGAAATTCAGCCCTGCCACTGACCCACTGTGTGACCACCACGTTGCTTAATCTCTTTGATTGTTTCTTCATTTGTAAAATAGGGTGAAAAATTGAATTTTTATGAGTATTTAAAAAATGTAAAAGTAGCCCATCATAAAGCCCCAACACATAATTTCTCTTTCCTTTAAAGTCATTCCACAAACGAAAAACCCAGGAATGGGTATTATTTCTTATCTATATTTCTTTTGGAATAAAACAGGGCCACAAAAGATAGATCTATGACATTTCTAGCCTTCCTTTTAGCTTGGTTCTTTTTCCTTTGGTGGCCTTTAATTAAGTTCTATTTTAATGTGCTGTCATTTCAAATTGACTTTATTCATATCTCTGTATCAGTTGCTAAAACAGATTTTGGGGAAAAGGCTTCCTACCTCTGCCTTATCTTCGGTTATCAGTGGGTTGAGGGGAGGGAGTAGGTAAGTTGACACCGTATAAATGAAACTGAAAGGGAATCTGATTTACATTTAAAATAAGTTATTTATAAAGAAATGTGTTGACCAGTTGGGTATGATAAATAAAGGGGGAGAAAGGAGTGTAAGGCAACTCCCTAACAGGTGACAGAGATAAAGGGGGGCAGAGTTCAGCCCCGGAGGTAACGAACTCGTGATGGGGCTTGTCAAGTGTATAGTAGTCTGATAGGGAGATACCCAAATGGAAATATCCCAAAGGTACTGGGACAATGGATTTGGGGAAAGGTCAGAGCTGGAGCTAAGGGAGTTATCTAAAAGCATCAAGAGGTTGAGAATGGGTTTAACAAAGCCAATAGGTCCAGACTGGAGCATACTTGAAGGTACGAAGAGCCACATCTTCGTTGAACTGAGTTGGATTAAATTGCTCTAAGTCACAGAATTTGCCTAATTTTTAAAATGAAACTGTTGAGGATCATTTTGAAGGGCTTTCAGGTAAGCGGATTAAAACTTGCCATTTGTGGTCAAGTTACAACCTGCATCAAATTTGTGGTTCTTTAAGTAGAGTCCGAGAGTTTCCTGAAGAGTTTTCAACTGACCCAGAAATATACATCAGTGCTTTCATTCTTTTTTTAAAAAATATAGTATATTTTATTTTTTATTAAAAAAATTTTATCAAGGTATAATTGACATATAATATATTAGTTTCAGGTGTTCAACATAATGATTCTATCTTTGTATATATTGGAAAATGAACACCACAGGAAGTCTAGTTAACATTTGTCAACATACATAATTACACATTTTTTTCTTGTGTTGAGAACTTTTTAAGATCTATTGTCTTAGCAACGTTCAAAATATACAGCCCAGGATTATTACCTACAGCCACCATGTTGTGCATTAGAGCCCCATGACTGATTGATTTATAAGTGGAAACTTGTACCTTTAGACTCCCTTTCACCCATTTTGCTGCCCCTTTCGTTCTTACAGAAAGTGTGCAATCCCAAAGACTTCTTTTTTCTACATAAGATTAAAGCCATTTATTTTTTTTTTGTCTTATTTATTATTACAGATATTTATTACCTACTTGTATATTATCTGTTAGGGTGGGTTCTCTCGAGAAACAACCAATAGCGTGTGTGTGTGTGTGTGTGTGTGCATGTGTGAGAAAGACTGATTTTAAGGAATTGCTTTACATTATTGAGGATAATCATCTCTTTACTTAAAGTCAGCCGATTATAGATGTTAACCACATCTACAAAATACCAGCACAGCAACACCTAGATAAGTGTTTGATTAAATAACTGAGTACCATAGCCTACCTGAGTTGACATACAAGACTAACCATCACATCTACCAGCCGAGTTTTTAAGGGTTATAAAAATCTGGTTATCAAAAACAAAAATTAGATCAATATTAGGCTTTCCTGTAGGCCCTTTAGGATTATACTAAGAAGTCTGGCTGTTAGGCAACCATGCATACACCTACCGGTTGCTTAAGCAGACAGTAGGAATCCACACAATGTTCTTTAAAATAAAATCATTTTTGGGGCACCTGGGTGGCTCAGTTGGTTGAACAACTGCCTTCGGCTCGGGTCATGATCCTGGAGTCCCGGGATCGAGTCCTGCATCGGTCCCCCTGCTCGGCGGGGAGTCTGCTTCTCCCTCTGACCCTCCTCCCTCATGCTCTCTATCTCTCCTCTCTCTCTCAAATAAATAAATAAAATCTTAAAAATTTTTTTTTTAAATAAAATAATATCATTGTTCATTCACTTCATCCTTATCGTTCTGGTTGGTTATAGGTTGTTCGGTTTGATCTGCTCTCGCATGGAGTGCTGTCATTTATCGATGCAGCAAATATGCCCTGTTTTGTGCCGAGCACGTAGACACATACACTTATCATCCTGGAGTTTGCATTCTCATGTGGCAGGTGGCCGATAAGCAAGATTCGAGCATGGAGTATGTCGCTTGTTATATAGTGACGGGTGTGAAGGATAAAAAAAAAATAAGCAAGGAAATGGGATAGGAAGTATGTGGGGGAGTTGCAATTTGAAGATATTTAGAGCAGCGCTTCTCAAATTGTCGGCTGTAAAGAACCAGTGAGGTTTTGTTCGTTTTGTCGTGTTTTTAGCCCATCGCTGACCGATACTTTTATAAAATAAAAAATGTATTATGGAAAAAATGAAATTTAAAAATACCAAAGATATAGAAAATACAAGCCCTTAATTTTAAAATTATTAATTACATTCAACAGACATGAAGGTATTCTGGAAGTTTTTCTATACAAGAGAGTTGACTGCTGGATTTAGTAAT